CATTCGAGAAATTCATCACGTGTTACCAGTGTCACATGACTTCTGCTGTCATAACAACACATTTGTTAGTGCCTTCAAAAGTTAAGGTTGATGCCTAGGATACACAATTAAAATAAAAAGGCACGTGTTTTAATACTTTTTTGAAGTTTGAAAGGGAATACTTTCTTCACAGTAATAGAATATTGGAAACTCACATGTAGTTTATATACCACTTTTTTAGGCTAAAAACAAATACAATGTTTTACATATATTTATCCATGGCAGTGCTATGTGGAGAAAGGGAGATGTTTCTGCACATGGGAATGAATGAAACTCAATCCAAGCATTTTCTGTAAAATTACACACTTACTCTATAATAATCCTTTACTTTTTAGCGACTTTTTTTTTTACTTAGTCTTTATATGTGACTTTAGATTTATAAATTAGGGGACATCAAGAGGCTTTTTAATTCATCAAAGCTGACTCCCAATTTTCTTCAGCAAACAGAAAAGTAATAATTAAATCCAGCCTCCCCTTTCTTAAAACACCTGTAAATTACAACCTCTACCTCTTTACGTGGTAGTTTGTTCCATAGATTTATCACTCTGTTTGAGAAATTAAACTGCCTGAGCTGGAGATATGTCTGACATTTTCAAAATAACATTATCTTACAAGGATGAGTAACATCAGTGCTAACAGTAATCAAAGTCTTGAATACAAACATCTTACTGCAAGGATTTTGAGTGAAAACACGGAGCTTGTTTTTCTCAGCTTTTTTTTCCTCATTAAACCTATCTGTTCTGTTGGTCTCGCATCTACTGAAAACCATAAAATTATCACTCAAAATCTTAGTATTTTCTTCACCTCTAACTAATAAACATGAGATAACAGTGAGTCTATTAAGAACTTTTCCAAACACTTGTATGAAAATATGTTTAAATGTAGTCCCTCATAAATAAAAAGCTTTCCTTTATCCATAAATCTGCCTAACAGATGAAATTTGCTTTATCTGTTGATCTATACATTCATTTACTCTTTGCGTGTAATTCAAAACTTCTTTCCAACAACTGAGGAAGAGAAAAATTGAAACAGATTTTACTTGGTTGTACAGCTAATTCTAATTCAAAAATTATTATCTGAATTAAACTTGGCAGACTAGTATTATTAACTATATTCAGGAAGCTTCTAAGTATATTTTTTATAACAGGAATGTTCATATAACTATATGATGTTTTGACTAGACAATATCAAGCACAAATTTAGTGGAATCTACAAACTGCAGTCCAGCCTCAGGAACTAAAAGACAGAGGCCATCTTTTTTCTTCAGTCGACCAAAAAGTTGGAACTTGCGGTCATCTCAGAAGGATGGAGAAGAAAAGAATAAAAAGGCAAATCTACAAGAAGATTTTATGACTAGGCATGCACGACTTCAAGCAGAAGCAAGGATGGCTTTAGCTCAAGCTAAAGAAATGGCCCGAATGCAGATGGACATTGAAAGACGAAGAAAAAAGAAATCTCCTATTGCAGATATGGTAGGTTTTTATAATTACTCATTCTCTGTACATTTCTGGTTAGATTGGTATTAGGTGCAATGCTTGAAATAAAATTCATCAGTATAACTTTCAATACATATTTCTTTATCAATTAATAAACAAAGGTCTATCAGTGTTGGAAAATAAAATGATTAGTCAGTTTCTTACTCTAAAACACCCAGTTGCATCAATTCAACACACCTGTTGTATGTCTTTTTTTTTTTATTGTACTTCAAAAAACTACTGGATCAAATATTTTCAAATTTCAGATGAACTTTCTACAGATTGTATTTTTTGCAAATATGTTATTGTTTATGTGGTATTTGTATGAATTTGTAAATTTGAGTAATTGAGATTTCACTTTTATATGTTTTTAAGAAACAATTAAAAATGCTTATCTTTATTGTAGATATTAATTACAGATTTTCGTGTCTTCATACATTCTTCTAAACTTTCCTATAAAGTTTTTGTTTTATAAAACTAAATTTTATCTTTGTTTTGATTCATAAAACACCACATGCATTTTCATTCTGTTTACAATCACTTATGTGCAATAAAAATTACTTTTTACCATACCCAAATTATAAGCAAACCAACTTGTCTATTTTAATTTTGATGATGAGGATCCCACTTTGAGACTAATAATGCTTGGAGATGGCTTGAATGGGTAATGAAGAAAAACTTTAATACAAGTTTAACATAACAGCAAATGTACAACGTTTCAACAAGGTTTTGTCATCATCAGGTACTTATCTATTGTTAATCAGAAGGGTTAATTTATGTAATAAATTTTAAATCTATTTTATGTTTAATAATATTTTATAACATTTAATAATATTATTTTAAATGTCTTTTTGGTGATTTTTCATTGTCTATCCAAACAGTTACTTAGGCTGGTAAGGCCTAATGTAAAGACGGTCTACCTTGTCATCAAAATATAATTTGTTACAGTTAAATGTAAAATTACTTTGCTAAGCCTGCCTCATCTTGTTCCATGAAAAATTCTTTTCATATCTCATAATTCAAATAAAGTATGAAATTATAAAGCAAGTTTTAAAAAAAAACATCAGGACTGTAATTGTGATGGAAGTTGTTCACAAACTTGTTTACTGCTAGGAACATATTACCAAGCTAAGGTTTTATTATTATCACTTTTGTCCATCTCTACACAGATCTTTGCCACACTGGAAGCTGTATAGGTTCATACATTGAATTACCAGAAAATGAACTTTCACTCATAATTAAGACCAATTATTATTGACTGTAATTTTTATTAAAGTTTTTAGCAACTCTTTTGGTAGAAGTTATTGCATAACAATTTATTTAAATCACTAGCTTATGACTTCTCAAAGCTTAGATATAGGCAATCACACCATAACAACTGAGGTTGAGAAACAGTGATTGGCTAAATTGGTAAAACTATACTTGTATTGAAGTTACAAAATCAAATTAGTGATATTTATTTTGAATTTCCTCCAAAGGGACTCTGATTTGTTCAATTCAGTGATACAATTTTTCCATCAAGTTGGAATGCACCCATTTGAACGTGATAGAGTTAAATGTTATTAAAATTATTGCTACATCGAACATGTCTGCCTTTTTATGCAAATACTTTTTTTATTTTTTGGCTGTCATGCTTTCTATGATTTAATAAAAAACTATAGTTTGATTACCATACATGTTTTTAGGGCTGGAATAAAGTATAAAAGTAATTGAAATTTTAACTTTTAATAGGTAGATGTGTATGTTTAAAATCTTTTTTGCAGTTTTTCTTGTAACACTTTTTATGTGTTTATATTGGTTTGTTTATTTAACTTTTGTGTAACATTTTATATGATACACCACAATAAGTAGTAACATCTTTTGTATTTGATATTTTACTTTTGTATTGAATTAAGTTTTGTTAGTATTTTGCTGAAAGTGTGAGAATTTAAAATATTTCAAAACTCAAATATTTAATTTATCCTGTGTATATTTGTATAGATTGGTATTATTCTTCCTGATGGTTGTCATCGTCTTAGTCGTCAAATCCTAACTGACATGAACTTAGCACAGCTGCAAGTGATTGTTAACGATTTGCACACACAAATAGAAAGTAAGTTTCTAAAAATATGTTGTATTATCATTTTATTATTAGCTTTATTACTAATAAATAAAACATTGAAACATAGTCATATTTAAGTAATTGTTAATACACTTTTATTCTATTTATAAATTGTAAATTCTTAGTGCTTTGATGGCACGGAGCAATATTCCATAATATATTCCAATAATATACCAATCATATATATTATGAATTTTGAATGCTGCTTGATGACTTACTGATTTTTTTTACATTAAAGTTGCTATGATCCATTGTCAGGTTTTATGCTGTCTTTTGACAAATCATCAAATTCTAAAAAAAATATCCTATCTGTCAACAACAGGCATCAGTAAATTCACCAAATTCCAACAGATATCTCTTTTTAATGCTTATTTTGTAACCTAATGTAATGCCATTTTCAGTTTGGTTTTCAAAGTTTCTCTTTTCAAAGTGCTTAACATATTCTTTTGCACATTTTTGACCAAAAAAAAAGCTTTTAGTTTACAATGTATTACTGGAATACTTTTTTTTTCAACCCCTTTATGATTTATCATATTTGATAATTAATAACAGGAATCAAAGTTTAATTATGAACTGCATAATGACAGCAGCAACAAAGAACATTTAACACATGTATGTACAGTAACAAACATTTAATTCTTGAACTTTTTGGAATATACATATTCCATTTTCTGCAAGCTATATTGAACACGGTAACTTATTAGGTACAAATATTATTTAGATGCAGAATAAAAGGACGAAGTAAATTAAAATACAACCAAATAAACAATAAAGAATAGGATAATGCAACAATTGTAACAATATTATACAAGTGTTCAGAACAGACTTAACTAGTGAAGCTGTGTTACTATTGAAAGTAGGGAGTTCATTGATAATAGATAAACTTTTTTTAATTAAAAGTCCAATATTGGATGATCCAGATAATATGACTTTGAAATTCATAATCAAGATGGGGTGGTTGTTGTTTTCACTATGTGTGTGAATCATGGCTATTATCTATGCTCCAGTTAGAGATGTGAGAGAGGTGAGTGCCTTTATTTCTCTGTATTTATTTCTATTCTTTTTCAGAGACCCTATCATAATTTTCATTTAGATTCCACTCAATGACTGGTGTTGCCTGGTCAGATATGCTTCTTTCCAAGTCTGCACTAACTGCCAGTCAACAAATAAAAAAAATTTTCATGGTAGCAACGAGCTCTGTTGATATGGTGTTCCATAAGACACCTTGTGGCTATCTGGGTGGTAAACAATTATAAACACTACTGGATCACCACTCATGGACTATCATGAGTAAAGCATTATGGGATTTTGCCCTTCCCTGCTGACCTCTGGATTTAATAAATCGGGGTTCGTTTGCTTATCAAAATTGGGTTCACCTATTGCAATGCACTCGGAGCATTGTTCCTCAGGACTCCCCAACGTGCGTTATCCCCCATTTCTCCTAGTGGATCGTGGGAGTCCTTACTACTTTACCACTCCCAGTTTATAGTTAAACCTGGCCCTTCTTTTTGTCATTATCTTCATTTTGCTGATCAAGGAAGAGGGTCCTCAACTACTCATAATTCTGCACACAGAGCATCAATTCTTGTGCCATTGGTTGAACTTAGTTTGTTCCACATCCTGCTCATAATATCCAGGGGTAGGAGGTGTTGCCTTGCCTCTCAGGTTGGGAAGTTAGAATTTCTGTTGGTAATCCCAGGCCAGCTAATCTCTGTTTCTTCAAAGTGAGTGAGACGAGAAGAAAGGTCCTGTAATTCAGAGTTTTGTTTATTTCATTTTGCATTTCTTCAGGTAGAGTTTGTCAACTTTTGTTTTGCTTACCTTACCTTTGTAATTCTGGTGGCTCCACATGCAACATTCTGTAAATTGCAGATTGGGATCCAACAATAATAACAAATGAATGAAAATGTAACCACACTGTGGTCCTCATGCCCTAGTTACTACGCCTTGGATCTAGCTTTGGATTCACAGCCCTATAATTCCAAAGAAGAGACATGGGACCTCATATGCCTGGTTAGGGCCTGAATGAATCCTGTGAGTTATGTGTGGGGGATCTGTACATCGGCTAGCCAACTGACTGTGACCAGATGCATCTGGTATTGCAGGAGCAGGCTAGTTCTAGTATAGTTGTCCATCAATTCATGTTTTCTTCTCACAATGTTAGGGTTTTGCCTCTGGGACCTGTTGGTAAAGCCTAGGTTTTAGCTTTTACGTCGTCCAGGCATAGAGCATACTTGTTTCAGAAGTACTGTGGGCCCCACTCATGTGCTATTACTATATCTCATTTTCACACACCTCTTTTCTACATAGACATTTTCTGTGTTGATCTTTCTTTCACCAACCCTTCCACCTTGTCAGTGTGGGATTCCAGCTATAATGTTAGAAGAGGTGTGTTTCAGAAGTTAACATTTTCCTATACCAAAAATGTATTTCTGATAATACTTACCTTTGTCACACTCTCCTGCCCTTCCTCTCCATGATGGCTGGTGTTCTGGTCTGCTAATTTAGACAGTCTCAAAGAATTGAATAGGAAGTAATAACGGGGAGCTTATATACAGATCGGGAACAGGAGCACATTGACGTAGGTGGAGAGAATCACAAGTTTTGTCTTGTTATGGGCAATAAAGTGGGGTGTAAAGGCTGGAGCAAGCAAGGTAAAATTCATAACAATTCTTAGATGGGCAGAGAAGAGTAACTTTAATTGGTATAAGGCTACAGTGTGAGAGGAGGTAAGTATTATCGGAAATACATTCTCTGTATAGGAAAATGTTGACTTACTGGAGACTGTATGTAAATGTGCTTAGAAATGTAAACCATAATTAAAGGTACAAGGAAAGGTTTGAATAAGGAGCTGATCAGAAAGAAGACAAATACGAGTGGCTTGGAATTGAAAATCAGATGATACAATAGAAACCATTTTTTATTGTGAAGTGTTCTATATATATATGAGGCACTGACATTGATTATTCAAGCATCACTGATAGTAATATGGTGAAAGTAAATTAAGGTTACTCTCTTTAGTTTTTCATAAGTTATTAGACATCATAATTCAGACTACTGTTTAACATATGCAATAAACCAATTTTCATCGGAAAACTTTTATGTTATAGTTTCATTTAGGTTACCACTACTAAATACAAGTTCAACATTTTACCACACTCAACAAGAATCTATTCACTACTGATACCAAATCAATCCAGAATTTGGTACATTACAGAATTTACTATTCAGTATTCATTATACAAGGCTGTTAAACAACTTTATCATTAGTATATTTATTTTAAAACTATACAACTGATTGAGTTGTTATACAAGTTTGATATGACAATTGTCTAATATTCAAGCACCAAAAAGAAACATATCATGTAATGGTAGGCCATGTGGGCCCCACTCACGACTGTTTATCTGGAATTAAATAAATTTCATTTGTAACTGGTGATGAAGTTGTACACAAGTCACCAACTCGAGGAAGTTTACAGTTAGAATAAAGAATTGACCCAGAGACTAAGATTCAAAACACATACAATACTTTAATACAAAATATTCAAATATTCATCTACATTGACATTACCAAAAGTATCTTGAGAAACTTCTACATTTATAGAAATAAATTCTTCATTCTGAGCAAGCAATTATTCATTTTCAAACCTTCAGTAATATTCATCAGATCTCTCACTATAACAAATAGATTATCAATTAAAACATAACATGAAATATGCTTAGACAGTTTACTTTATGAGTTCTCCTTAACATTATACATTTTATATCAATTCCTAACTATGCTATTCACCTGAGTGAAGTAAAAATGATTACTTACATGGAGCTTGAATGCTGAAGGTTCTCAATATCTTTGGCTTAACCTACAGGTTTAATGCACTTTATCCATGATGCTAGCCTGAACAATTACTAAACAGAAATAAAAGGCTATGATATCCTTAATGACTGAGACAAGGAATCACCATACAACTCCATTTCTTGTCTGTTTAAAAAGGTATCTGATTTGCATAATCATTGCCAAAAAAAAAGTGATAAGTCAGGGCCACTTCACATGGAGATGGTAGATTAATTACAGAAAAAAAGAGAAACAGAAATTTCAATTACTACAATAGTAAATAGTGCATAAAACTAAAAAGAACAATTCTTTGTTTGGAGAGTCTAAAATTAAACATTTTAACTAAACTTGAATTTATTAATGACCAAAATTAGCTGGTTCAGATATTAAAATTAGAATTCTGTCTTACAATTTCCACTGGAAAAAATGCTTAGTCCAGTTTAAACCTTGCAATACCATTCAATAGTTATTGCTGTCGACTGGTTTGAAATGTTGATTTTACTTCGTATAGTTTGTTTTTTTTTGCCATTTTTAATTATTAGATATTCATATAATGTTAATTACGTTTTCTAGATAGGCATAACTGACACAATTAAATAACTTGTTTTAAAGTTAAGATAACACAAGTTAATTGTTCACTAGACATGTACATTGTACAGTTACTAATATTGAGATCTTGGTAAAGGAAAAAAGGAGCATTATTTTTCATTTATATTGTTCGTATACTATACTAGGTATTGAAGTTTATGATGTATGAATAACAGTACAGATTGAACTGTGAAGCATCAAATATGTATATCAAGATTGATTTTTTTACTATATTACACAAACATATTCATGCATTCATCATTGAAATTACAAATTTAATAAATGCCTCTTACCTTGTAATTAGTCACAGAAAGAAATACATTATAAAGAATATCAATTTCTTTATAAAATATAAAGGTGTGTTTAAGGTCTGTAACTGGTAAACAGCTTCTGTTTTATGATATATTTCTGTGTTCTGTAGATTTAAATGAAGAACTTGTTCAGTTACTGTTAGAAAGGGATGATCTCCACATGCAGCAGGATTCCATGTTAGTGGATATAGAGGACCTTACAAGATACTTGTAAGTAACACCCGGCTGGTATCATCATTTAAAATAACAGTTTATTATTTCACAAAAAAGCACAGACTATATAAGCAGCATCATTTTATAAGGTTAGAATGTTAATATCTCACATAAACACAGCTACCTAGATATCATTTTATAAAACAACAATTTAGTATTCCACACAGAAACATAAACTAAGTAGCATTTTATATATTAGCAATTAAGTAAATTCACACAAACATATAGATTATATATATATATATATATATCATCAGTTATAAAGTAATAGTTTAGTATTTTACACAAACACAAGCTGTCTGGATTTACTTTTTAAAGTAACAGTTTAGGGACTGTTCACAATTGTCATCATAAAAAATATTGAAAATTGTTTGATAAAGGTGTGTGTGTGTGTGAGTGGGTAAAAAAACCAGGAACATGACAAGTAATGGTAACGAGTTAAAAATTATTTTCTTCTTCCTGTCAATGCCTTTCTTTAATAAATGCTCCTAATTGGACATTTATTTTACTCTTTCTCCATCCATACTAGGTCTTATATTTCAAAATTATGTTCAATAAGAGATGGGTGGGTGTGTGTGTCTAAGAATTATGAAACATTATTTGATAAATTTTAATGATGAAAATAATGAATGGTTCCTTAATATTCCATCAAGTTATGTAGATACCATCAGTGTAAAGTATTATTAATTACATAAAATTACCTGTACCATAACTTTTTATCTGTTCATGGTTTTTACTGAAATACAGAATTTTTTTACCTCTCCAATCTGCCTTTCTTGTTTAACTCTCTCAAAATGAGCTCTGTCAATTTGACCAACCATGTGACTACTTTGTAATCATTCAAAATATTTATAGATTTGATACTACTAACTTTTAATATAGTATGTATATCTTCACAAAATTTGGCAGTCTTTCAGTAAACATTATGAGTCTTTCACGTGCAAAAAAATCATATTTTTTTGGGAAGTATTTTAAATAAACTAAAAAAAAATAGTCCGTGAATATATGCGTGTATATATATATATATATATTTGTTTTGAATAGTCCATGTGCAAAGTGATTTTCATGTTAAGATTAAAAATACTTTTCTTCATCTTAAAAATATCAGATTTGACTTGCGTAGTTCTAAAACTTCCTAAATACATTTTAAATGTTTGTTTTCACTAAAGCTTTATATTTTATCTGTTATTATCTTTACCCTAACTCTATACAACATTGGTCAATTTGACCGACCTCATAACCAAAAAAAAATATATAAATTACCCTTTTTTTTCTTCCTAGAATGCCTTCAAATTGCAACATGAAACTACATTCATTTATCCTATGTAGCTTTAAACTCGTAACAGTATACATCTATTTATGTTTAGATTTTATTGTTTTATTACCCTTTGAACCGTGTCTAACTACTATTCGTCACATTACTCTATCGAATTACATTACCAACGATCTGCTCACGTGCATGCCTTGTGAAACATTTTTATTATATTGTTATTATTTATTTTGCCTAATCTAGCCTCAACTAACTTAAAGAGACCCTTATTTTTACATTTTAGTTACTTTTATAATAATAAATAAAGAATAAACAAGAAATAAAGTAGTTACCTAAATCTACTTTTTCTTGCTGTCGATTGTCGATGACACTTAGCAATACTTTTTTCATACTAATGGTAGTAATGTACTAAATAATTCGATTTTATTAAACAACTTTTTTTTTTATGTTATACCAATTAGTATAGCATAAAATTGTAACTAATAATCCATATTTTAATAGTATACAAGTTTTAAGTTCTTAATTTTATAAGGCAATATTTAAAAAAATCCTGAATTCCCCCTAGTGTGAGAAATGTGACATATTTTCTCTAGGTATCCCCTCTACTCTATTTTATTCACCTCCCCTCCAATAAGTACAAAATTTAACGTAAATTACTCACTATAAAATCATCATTGCTCAAAACCATAATTTTTATAGTCTTTAATTTTGTTTGCTTACAGAGCTATCAAATAGAAAATCAGACCTCTCTTGCCATACCCACCTGTCACATTTTCTCTTTCAGGATTTGTTAATGGTTCTCTCTTACATTTAATTCTATATTATGTATAACCAATAAAAAACCAAGGTTTCCATCTGTCAAATGAAGTATCATATTACATTGTTTTCTGAACAGAGAATTGTCAATTTCTTTGTTAGTACAAGCTTCATTCCCTAGGGAAAGACAATAACTAGCTTGGATTAACTTGTAACGGTTCTTTTCGCATAGTTAGAAAGCCAGAAAAATTGTGATAGTTTGAAGAAATTGTCTGCTTTTTACATGTTATTATTCTGTGCTCTTTGGTGTACTATATAATTAAATAAAAATTATTAAGTGCATTACTACCATTAGTTTAAAAAAAAAGTAGGCTTAAGTGTCATCGACAGTTGACAGCAAAAAAAAGACCCGGGTAATTACTTTATTTCTTTATTTGTTATTATAAAAGTAACTAAATTGTAAATATAGGGATCTGTTTTGGTTAGATTAGGTAAAATAAATAATAATAATAATAACATAATAAAAATGTTTCATGAGGCACGTATGCGAGAATCTCATGGGTAATGTAATTTGATAGCATAACATGAGCTCCACATTCCCCATGCGATTTATAACTTATAGCTGATTAGCCCATCAAGGATGACCCTTCCAACTCCCAATTATAACCACCCCTTACTACTAATTTATTCATCGAAAAGCCAACTATCCTGTTTTAAAAGTAATACTGTCTAAACTGCAGATAACTTGATGCCAAAATTTGAATTTATGACCTCTTGTCTTATTGTTTTCAATGCTAACCACAAAAAAGTTTGATGGATCTATATTATCAATATTCTTTGTAATCTTAAACACCTCAATCAAATCATAGGACAGTCCCACATCCCAGGTACCATTCTAGTGGCTCTTCTCTGAACCTTCTTCAACAATTCAATGTTATTCTTGAGGAAGAGAGCCAAAAACTGTACATAGTACTCCAAATAAGGCCTTACAAGTGATCTATACAGTAAACAATAATATCCCTTGTTTTGCATTCAGTGTTTTTATAGATGCTACCCAAAATCCTATTAGCCCTATTGCTAGCTACAATACACTATTTAGATGACTTAAGTGATTTTTTAATCACAATACTAAGATCTTTTGCTTCAACCACAGTATTTAACATATTCCCATTTCAATTGTAACAATAATTTGAATTGTGAAAATCTATATGCATCACCTTACATTTTGAATAGTTAACCATCATCTGCCATGTATTGGCCCAATTCCTCAAATGATCTAAATCTCCCTGTAACTCTGCAGCATCTTTGATACAGTTAGCCACCCCAAAAATCTTAATGTCCCTGCAAACTTCATAATTTCATTTAGTCATTCCAGAACCAATAACATTAATATAAATCACAAAGAGCAGAAGACCCAGCACAGAGCCCTAAGGCACACCGCTTTTAACTGTGATCCAGTCAGATCTAACTCCATTTATTACTTCTCTGTGCTTTTTGCTCTCCAGCTAATTTTCTATCCAATTTAATAACATTTCCCTCACACCCACAAATTTAAGTTTTGTAACAAGTCTTTTGTGAGACACCTTATCAAACGCTTTCTGAAAATCAAGGTAAACCAAATCCACAGTATTTCCTTCATCAACTCTTGCAGTAACATCCTTAAAGAATGTCAGAAGATTTGTTAAACAAGACTTTCTCTTAGTGAAACCATGCTGACTCTTAGGCACTATATCAAACTGCTTTAAGTGACTCTGCAATGCATCTTTAATCACACTCTCTAAAACCTTTTCAACTACTGGTGTAAAACTAACTGGCCTATAATTGCCTGGCCAATGTTTATCACCTCCTTTAAATATTGGACTAACATTATCCGATCTTCTAATACTCTTCCACTACTCAATGACCTATAGAAAAAATATTAGCCAGCAGTTCACAAATAAAATCTTTAAGTTCCTTTAAAACTTTTGGGTAAAAGGTGTATAAATTTTTAGGTTTTCCAACTTTTCTCTTACAACTTCAGAACTTAATGTGATATCTCGGTGTGAATAGTAGTTAAACATAGTTCAAAGGGCAATAAAACAATAAAATTTAAGTATAACTAGATGTATATTGTTATGAGTTTAAAGATACTTAGGATAAACAAATGTCATTTCATGTTACAATTTGAAGTCATTCTACAAAGAAAAAAAAAGGTAATTTTGATATTTTTTTTTGGTGGTTACGAGGTCAGGCAAATTGACCAACCTTGTATAGAGTTAGAATAAAGAATATAACACATAAAATATAAAGTTTTAGTGAAAACAAACATTTGAAATGTATTTAGGAGGTTTTAGAGATTATGGAAATGAAATTTGAGATTTTTAATATGAAGAAAAGTATTATTAACCTTAATATGAAAATCACTTTGCACTCGAACTAATAAAAATATATTCAGGGACAAATCTTTTTTTAGTTTATTAAAAATAATACACTGAAAAATATGATTTTTTGTATATGAAAGACTTGTAATGTTTACTGAAAGTGTGCCAAATTCTGTGAAGATATACATACTATATTAAAAGTTAGTAGTATCAAAACTATGAAGACTTTAAATGAGTACAAAGAGGTTATGTGGTCGGTCAAATCGAATTTGAATTTTCATACTATTTATTTGTAGTTTACAAACTGTAATTTATATTTTAATATGTCATAGTGGTATTATTTCACTTTCGAAACCCAGTTATAGAAATTAATTAATTTTCCATGTTTATCTTTTACCAACACAGTTGTGTTTGGTTTACATTATGCATTCCAGAGGTTGTACCTTCTACCAGCACATTTAATCAGACTTCAGATGTGTATAACTCGATTTTGGAATTATTGGCAATTATTCATTAAGAGATTGATTGCTATTTGAACCACCCTTCTTCTCCTGATGTTGCCCAACTTCCTCCTGGAAAAGCCAAACCTGTTCGGGACAATGACGGTTTTG